GTGATGACTTATGACTCACTGTCAAAAGAGTTTTCCTTAGAAATGTTCAACTCCAACTGAACCCCTCCCCTTTTTGTGGCTGAATTTCTGTGCCTTGATCTTTTTGCTTTTATGTACTGTCCAAATATCCACAAATATGCCACATGTGAATAGTATGCCAGTCAACAGATGCTCCACGATAGTGTTTGTTAGGCTGCATGCTGTGCATGTGGTATGACTTCGACAACTGCTTGAAGGAAAACACTGGAGAAAGGTAGCTGCACTGATTGTTTCCTTTCATGCCCCTTTTAAATTCTGAATATGGACACTGCCATCATTTACATGAGACTGTTAAGTTCAGCATTTGTAGTTATGAAGCTGCCCTATCCTTACACAGCCACTGGTAGTGTCTTCAGCTTCTGTTCTTGTTAGCTCTGGTCCACTGCCAGGAGGCCCAGTTATGTGCCCATTAAATGTCTTGACGTCTTTTTCAAACTGGAGGCCGAGGGGAAGTTTTGTTTTATTCTTTCTGCATGCATCTTTTAAGGAGACAGTTAATCTGGAGAACTGCAACCTGGCTATGTCTTTAGCAATATTTATATTCACCAGTGTTTCTCATTTACGTAAAGCCTAGCTAATCAGCTTTCACAACAACAGTGAGGTAATGTCTCGACAGGTCTTTGAAGAGGCACAATTAAAACATGTCCAATTCTAAAAGAGGTTTCAAATCAATAGAGTCTAGGAATGGCAGACTTGTTATGGAAAGTGTTTTGGCAAGGAGCTGCAAGGTTTTATTTGTTTTTCTTAAAGATTGGACCCCTTTTAGTGCACATTTGGATAAATAGTAGTTTAATAGTAGCCTTAATAAACAAGGAAGTATGGGTGATAAGCCTCCATGGGTGTATGATTTTCTGTGTGACAGGACATGTGAGAATATTTTTATAGGGTATCAGTTAACTTCCACAATGTGTGAATATACAGTAAATGACTCCAGCAACATTTGTGGAACTGTTTATGCCACATTAAAGTTCCAGTTTATTTTCAGCTGTTTCATCTGGACATCTTGGTGATTTATGGGGGTAGTCATCATAAGACAGTCTCATTTGCAGTCTCAGTGACACAGCACTCTGACTCTCAGTTCACTAAGTGTGTGGATGACAGGGGAGGGGCGGGTCACGAGGTAAGAAAAGCCCTTTGGACATATTTATTTTTCTCTCGTGAGCCTTTTGACCAAACTCTCCTCGTCAATCTTGTGCTGTCAAAGAGGGCCAGAGGTGGGAGCTCCTGTCTCTCTCTCAAAGAGGCCACTGTGTACATGAGGACCCCAGGTTTAGGGGCCCAGATGCTCCTTTGGTAACTGTTGTGAAACCTGCACTGTACATGGAGGTAAACTGTTAAATGGGTAATTGAGGGGATATGCAAACCATTAACCCATATTTTTAACATGTCGTTTTGACTTGGGCGGTTCCCCAAAAATATGAAAATAGCAAAGGTTATTCCACTGTATAAATCTGGTGATAAGCACAACTTCACAAATTATAGACCGGTTTCTCTGTTGTCACAATTTTCAAAAATTCTGGAAAAACTCTTTAGTAACAGATTAGATACATTTATTGACAAACATAAAATCCTTTCTGATTGCCAGTATGGTTTTAGGTTGAACCGATCAGCATCGTTGGCCATTACCGACCTGATGGAGGACATTACAAGTGCTATGGATGAGAAGAAATACACGATAGGAATATTTATTGACCTAAAAAAAGCATTTGACACAATCAATCATGAATTATTAATGGACAAGTTAGAAAAATATGGGATCAGAGGAATGGTTCTGAGATGGATTAGAAGTTATTTGACACAGAGGCGTCAATTTGTGAAGTTGGGTGAATACCAATCGAGTGAGCTGGATATTGTATGTGGAGTGCCTCAGGGTTCTGTTTTGGGACCTAAATTATTTATACTATACATTAATGATATATGTAAGGTTTCTGAAATTGTCAAAGTGGTTTTGTTTGCTGATGACACTACCATATGGGCAGCAAAAACATTTTGTATACTCTCTAACAGCCTGTTTCCTTGATGTTGATCTGGCACCATGTTCAGTGACCCTTAACATAATTACAGGTTTAAGTGAGTCTCAAATTTAGCCCCACACAGATTTTCCCCACTAGAAATTTGAACCAGGTTAACCTGGTAACAGACCTGTTTGTTCAGCCTGGTCACGCCCTTAACCACAGGATTTAGCCTGTCAGGAACCAAATGCCAATGGTTAAGACAGGTAACGTTGACGATGCCACTGACTAACAGGGGAGCCCAGAGGAGTTTGTCTTGATTGTTTAGGCATCAGTGTAGGCAATACTATTGCTGCTAAGTCATACTCATGTATTTATTTATAAGGGAATAGTTTGACATTTTTGGAAATATACCTGTTTGCTTTCTTTTCAGGACTTATGAAAATCAATACCACTGTCACATAGCTGGGCAGACTGTGAATTTCAGACTGTTAACAATTTGGACATTACTTAATCTCGTACATTGAGGTAACTCACACCTCATGATTTAGTCAGCTTTTCTACATGGCCAGAACCTGCAGCATTTATGTTCACACAGTATGGACTAAGCGGTCCCAACATGGCTGCTTGCACTGAATGTTAAGCACAGAACCCCCGGTAGCTTTTGTCCATTGACAATTACAACAAGGTTTATTCACCCAAGATGGCTGTGTCCCAAAAAAAGCAAAATGGCAGCATTACTGCTCAGTTCTAATATGAAAGTAAATGGAAGATGCAGACAATCTGGTGTTTGCTCTGCATTCAAGTTGTTATAATTTTTTTAGTATATTACTTGTGTGGTGTAGAAGATAATTATTTATGTAGAGATACTGCTTGCAAACCAATGATGGTAAGATGATGTCATGGGGTAGGACTGGATAAGTCTGACTTCTTCCTACTCCATTCAAGCATGTACTAGGTATAAGCAAATTGATATTGGATTAGCATTTGTTGGATATGTGTAAAATTATATGTGTTGGTATATCAACTGTCTTTACATGCTTGAAAGAATAAATAAATAAATAAAAAAAGGTGCTGTGAGTTGTCCAGTCTTTCTGCTCCCATAACACCAATGAGGCAGCCACCTTTTTTGCTATGTAATAATATTATAATGATGTGAATTAATAGCATCCAACTGATAGCAACTTACTCCAGTTCTTCTGTCTCTCCTTATCTTAACCCCTTGCTTTTTCTAAAAGATCAGCTGTCAGCTTGGAGGACTGACAGCTGAAGGCCAGATTCCACCTTCTACAGAAATGTTTACATGTAGCTTCAGGGAAAGTAGGTCGGAGGTAGATGCAGCAGCAAGGGGAGAAGAGAGCAAGAAAGAGAATAGAATGACCTCATCAAACCAGGTTTTTACATGTGCTCCCCCATCTGACATGCGTGTGTTTCTGATCTTACCGTTTTTCTGGAAGAGGAGAATGTTTCCTGTTTAAGCAGACTGATGGGTTCACCAAGGAGTCGAGGGGTCGGGGGGGTCGGGTTGCCCAGCCGACGTCTGGTTCTATTGAAGCAGATTCCCCACATCTCCATCAAACAGCAGCTCTGTTTTGGCATGGCTCTGAAAACTGACCCTGGTGGTCACTTATGTCGGGGGGTCTGTGGTAGAATTGAGGCTGTTTTCCGCTTTCTTGTTCCCCTCCAGTTTGAAAGAAGCAGTGGCTATATCTCATAGTAAGCATGGCTAGTCTTAAGAAAAGTTGTTGTTCAGTTTGGATCAGTAATCTCAAGACAAGGAGTCAGCTACAGTTAGTTTTGATCGAATCTTTTGATATGGGATATTTGTTTATTCTCTCATTTGCTTATATCATCTTCTCCCCACTGACATACTTTTTAATGGCATGCTCAAGCATTCCTATAGAATGTGTGCGCAAATGTGCAGCATCTTATGTACACTTTCTTTCCCCTTCTAAATCTTTGATTGAACAGAGTAGCAGTGTGTTGAACAGGGTCGTCCCCTGGCATGAGCTCTAAGCAAGTTTATGGTGATGTTCTTCTACCTGTAATGTGATCTAGTAGATGGGAGACAGTGACTGTGTGTGTGTGTGTGTGTTTTTCCTGCTTTGTCCAGACTGGTTCCTGTCTTGCTAATAAAAGAGATCTCTTTTTTAGTGTTGGATACTGATCTCTCCACAGACGTTTAAAGATCACATTCACGGTTCACGCTGCATTTTCCCCTTAAGGTCTCACAGCAGGCCCTTGGTCCCAGGCTGTGATTCATGGAGTGACAAGTCTGCCTCTGGTTGCCATAAGGGCCCAATCAGACAGGGTCCACACACACACACACAGACGCTGCAGACAACAGTGCTTAAACGCATGCATCTGCCACTCCTATTTCACTTTCACGTCTTTTTTTTCATGTAGGCTTTTACTAAGTAGCGACCAGACCACTAGGCTAATGATATCAACAAAGGCTAACTAGAGTCAGGATTTAGCAATTTTGGTGTCCGATCATTGTAACACGATCGGCGTTGTCCGTTAGAGCTACCTTTGACTTATAAAACCACTCAGACCTTCTGAGCTTGACAAGAAGCCCCTGCTAATGTGAGCCATGCTTTGCGAAGAAGTTCGAGGTTTAGTCTATAATGTGAACTTGAGCTGATATTATACTTCAGGTAACAACAGCATTTCTCATTTGTTGAATGTAGAAAAACATACTCCCAAGAATCTGACTAGCACTTTGTGTAGCAGTGTCATTTTTCTGAAGTAAATGAATTGTAACAAACGACTGAATTGAATCAAAATCAAATGAAGCAATCAGTATCACTATTACATCAAATCAAACAAGTAAAACAGTTTGTGTTTTTCTTCTTTGTCATTGTCATTTTTTTCCTTTCTGGTGGAACATGGTTGCTTCTCTTGCACAAACTGAATCTGAAAGTGTTTCATAAACTAGACCCATTTGTGACATGTAATGGGTTTTACTGTTGCATCAGGAGGCTGTAATGTTTATTTGTTTCATTTCAGTGTTTCCGGGCGCTGTGCTGTAAAGGACCCCCAGCGCCAAGACCAGAGTATGATGTGGTGTGCATTGGCCTGACAGGTGCTGGAAAGACCAGCCTGCTCTCACGGCTCTGTAGTGAGGGCAGCGACGGCGTCATTCCTACAACAGGTATGTTCACATAACTTGTGGCTCAGCGGCAATGAGGGGCTTTTTTCAGAGTAAAAATGTGTAAACACAAGCATGTAACCTCCACAGATATACACATCACACATTTTTTTTGCAAGCTAGCCAAGCTTCTGAAATGCCATGTTGTCCTTCGGATTAGAATCACAGTTAGATGAACACTGCCCAGCTATTACTGCTCGCCAATAGGGGGAAGCATGTCTTCAGTATGTCTTTCAGAGCCCCAGCGCTCTTGCCAGAAACACTCTGCTGTATCTTTCTAGCTAAAACTCAGCTTCTTTCTTCTTGTCAAGTGGGAGGCTGGTGTTAAGTATGTCCAGAAGAGGAGGCTTTAGGGTTAGGACATCATGCGCCTGATAGTCAACACTCTGCTCTTCATATACACAGTGCCATCCCTCAAGGACACTGACGTTCCTCTTTCCTCTCCTGGCTTTGTCAGCAGTCAGCTTTGAGCTTTTGCAGAAATCCCATTTCAGATTTAGCCATTGTTCACTTTCACCAGCAGAAGCTAAATATAAAATAATGCCCCACTGGGCTGCCTGTCACTGCTGGTGTGTGCATTTCTGTGACAGGGTGGTTCAGTGGAGGGAACACCTGTATTTCCTACCACCAAGTAGGCCTTCATAGATTAAATATGTCAATTAGCAGAGAAATCTTTTAGTAAATTTCTCTGCTCTCGGCACTGGCTGCATCGTCTACAGAGGGAAGATCATGAAGCACAAGTTGAGGGAAGTCTCCTGTGGCTCCCTTCTCTTCCTGTGTCATCGTTTGTTGTAACGTGCTTAAAATCCATATTTAGGAGTTTGTGTAAATGTGAAGAAAGTCATCGTCGGTAGTCTCCCGCCTCTCCTTCTCTTTGTGAAGATTACCAGGAAAGGAACTCCCATCAAGACAACCTAGTTTAATTTGAACAACATTAAATCACCTCCTTCAGTTGTTTTCTTTTGCATGTCCCATCATAAGCAACCGAAGAAACAAACCACATAATACATGGTAGCACTTTAGTTCAGTCCTCCACTGGCATAGAACAAAACAATGTGTTTAGCTTTCCTTGTTTTTTACTAACCCAGACCACACAAAGTGTTATTTTCTTTTGTTTTTGCAACACAATATGTTGACAATCATCTTTGTGTTCACCAGCTGTTGCTTTGGAAAAGGTACACCAAATATCCTGGGGAGACTAAATGATAAAATGGATTTTTTAAGTCAGATTTTGTTAGCCATTTTCTCACAGTTGAAAAGCGTTCCAGCCAACATTCCTAAAAGTTGACTCTCATCGCTCCTAACATGTGCTATACACACACTCACACAAACACAATTTCTTTGTCATCACAGTTATGGATTTTCATTTTTCCCCTCCCAGGTTTCAGCATCAAAGCAGTGCCATTTCCAAATGCCATCCTGAACGTAAAAGAACTTGGAGGTAAGCAATGTATGCCCTGCCATAGCCTGAAAAGGCTGCAGAATTTCATTTGACTAGTTGCTCTATTGCCACATGAAACCCACAATGGGCTGCAGCCCATACTAACTTCAGTAGCTATCATAGGGTCTTGAATTGGAAAACTGCATTAAAAACTCTATACCAAAACAACAACCAACTTTTTAAAGCTGTTCTTTGCAACTTATCATATTAGAATACATATATAACGGCCGTTTTAGTGATGTGTTTTACATAATGAATTAAAATCATATTATGTTAATTTATTTTAGCACTGCTAATATTAGTAAAGTAACAAACACCGTTTTGTTATGATTTACTTTTACTACACCCCCCCCCCTTCTCTCCATGTATGCGGATGAGGTGTTTTGACCTTCTAATAATAAATGAGCCGCTTTTGCTTAAAATCTCAAATCTAAATTACACAAATGTGCCGATTTACACTGTTTTCCTTTTTCATTATAAAACTTGTTCTACCATAATTTTGTTTCTCAACATTACCTGTTTATACAAACAGCTGTGTACACCAAGGATGCAAAAAGCATGTTTATTTTTACCTCCAGTAGAATCACACCTTTCTTGCACAGCCTGACATTTGTGTACAGACGTCAGACCTGTTAGTGTTTTTAGAAGTGGCTATACGGCCTGCATCCTGTTATTCCTGGAAATGCTTAGCAGTCGAGGAAACTGTTTAATAAGCACAGATGAGGGATGCTGAGGTGGAGGTACGTAAACAGACCAAATGCAACGCGAGGCCTCCAGTCCTTAAAGGGAGCCTTAAGAGAGGGATACATCAGTGCTGTTTCTTCTCCCACAGGCACCTTAGTGACACGGGAAAATGTATTGCTTTTTATAATTATAATAATTTGTTGTTTTTCTGTGCACTATAGGCACATGACAGGTGCAGTTCATATTTTAATGGCTCGCCCAACCTACCCTCCTAATAAGATGAAAAACATCCATGCACAGACATGCGAGCACGCACACACACACACACACACACACAAAGGCACCTAAGGACCACCAGCGAAGGTACTACCAAATTTGGACAGAGCACATTAGGGTTTTTTTCTAAAGAAGATTTTCTGGATTGGGTCAGAGCTACTCTGGTGGGACGTTATTGTGGTTGGAAAAACACTGTGGTCCCACAGATGACACGTTTGATTTAGAAGTTAGTATAGGCTGCAACCACAGCAAAGGATGACGAAATCTGTTCTCTTTTTCTTTTCACCTCCCTTGCCTGGACTCTTAATACCCTTTTTCTTTTCTTGTAAATACACTGAGCACTAGAAGTTGAGCAATTTATGGTGCCATCCGTTATGGATTGATTGTAGAGCGTGAAAGCAAGCACATGATGTTTTAGTGCCTCTAGTGACTACTTTTTATCTGGAACACAGTATTGGAGTTGGGTTTCTGCCTGAGGTGAAATACTGACATTCAGCCCTTTTGTTTGGCTGAGTGAAACCTTACATTTCTTGTTCCAAATGTAAATGATGTAAATGTAGAGTCAGGAGAGTTGATGTGCTTGCATAATATTCTACCAGTCAGTTTTTCATAATAGTGTTCTCAGATCGTTTTCTGATTAAAGCAGCCCCGTTCCGCACTGTTTGTAACTTACTCAACACTTCCCATTTGTGT